ACTTGTTACTTGAAAATATTTTCTTGTTCTCATTTGCATATACTTGATTACAAATGAAACTGGTCATTTTTTCCATGTATCTATTAGTCAGCTGTAAAATTGTTTACCTTTTACTTTTTTCCATTTTGATATTTCTGTGTTTGCCTTTCCCTGATTGATTTAAACCAATTTACTATACAGTTATAATATTAACTTTTTGTCTTTCTTTTTTTTCTTTCTTATTTCTTTATTCCTTCCAATTGTTCACCTGAATTTCTTTCTTTCTCTTTCTTTTTTTCTTTCTTTCTTTCTTTCTCTTTCTTTCTTTCTTTCTTTCTTTCTTTCTTTCTTTCTTTCTTCTTTCTTTCTTTTTGTTGTAGTGTTCCATGATTCCTTGTTTGTGTATAACACCCAGTGCTCCATTCAATATGTGCCCTCTTTAACACCCATCACCAGGCTAACCCATCCCCCACACCCTCCCCTCTAGAACCCTCAGTTTGTTTCTCAGAGTCCATAGTCTCTCATGGTTAGTCTCCCCCTCCGATTCCCCCCTCCACCTTCATTTTCCCCTTCCTACTATCTTTATTTTTCTAAACATATAATGTATTTATGTTTCAGAGGTACAGGTCTGTGATTCATCAGTCTTACAATAATAGTAGGGGACTTTAACACTCCCCTCACTGAAATGGACAGATCATCTAAGCAAAAGATCAACAAGGAAATAAAGGCTTTAAAGGACACACTGGACCAAATGGACTTCACAGATATATTCAGAACATTCCATCTCAAAGCAACAGAATATACATTCTTCTCTAGTGCCCATAGAACATTCTCCAGAATAGATCATATCCTAGGTCACAAATCAGGTCTCAATGGTACCAAAAGATTGGGATCATTCCCTGCATATTTTTGGACCACAATGCTTTGAAACTAGAACTCAGTCACAAGAGGAAAGTCAGAAAGAACTCAAATATGTGGAGGCTAAAGAACATCCTACTAAAGAATGAATGGATCAATCAGGAAATTAAAGAAGAATTTTAAAAAATTATGGAAACAAATGAAAATGAAAACACAACTGCTCAAAATCTTTGGGATGCAGCAAAGGCTGTCCTGAGAGGAAAGTATATAGCAATACAAGACTTTCTCAAGAAACAAGACAGGTCTCAAATAAACAACCTAACCCTACACCTAAAAGAGCTGGAGAAAGAACAGCAAATAAAGCCTAAACCCAGCAGGAGAAGAGAAATAATAAAGATCAGAGCAGAAATCAATGAAATAGAAACCAAAAGAACAGTAGAACAGATCAACGGAACTAGGAGCTGGTTTTTTGAAAGAATTAATAAGATTGATAAACTCCTGGCAAGACTTATCAAAAAGAAAAGAGAAAGGACCCAAATAAATAAAATCATGAATGAAAGAGGAGAGATCACACCCAACACCAAAGAAATACAATTATAAGAACATATTATGAGAAAAAACATTCGACCACAGCATCCTTTCTTGATTAAAACTCTTCAGAGTATAGGGACACCTCAATACCATAAAAGCCATCTATGAAAAACCCACAGCAAATATCATTCTCAATGGGGAAAAACTGAGAGCTTTCCCCTAAGGTCTGGAACACAGCAGGGATGTCCACTATCACCACTGCTATTCAACATAGTACTAGAAGTCCTAACCACTTTTTGTCTTTTTTATGTATTATTTTTCCAATATTTCTTTTGTCTTTCTAAATTATACTTATGCCATATAAAAGTTTATTTTTATGTAATAAAATCAGTAATTTTCTGCATAATTTCTGCCTTGAGTTGTATGTTGAGAAATGCCTTTATTGTGCTTAAATTAAATTATCATCTATATTTTCTCCCTGTTCTATTATTATTATATTAAATTTGTTAATCCATTTAAATAACAACTTTATCTCAAATAATCCTTAAGGATAATGGAAAAGGATTATCTTAAAAATGTTAAGTGAAAAAGAAGCATACAAAATAGTATATACAGTATGATCCCACTTTTATAGAACAAGATTCCATTTGTGGATGTTTTGTGTAGAAAAGAGACTGAAAAATAAATATTTAATAATGTTTAGTAGGATTAAAATGTTTTTTAAGACTTTTCTTCTTTATATTTCTTTGTGCTTTCTGAAAGGAATGTGTATCATCTTTATTATCAGAAATTTCTAAAATAACATTTTTTAGTTTAGAAAACATGGTATATCTTAAAAATGATTTGGAATGGTGATGTTCAACAGAAATATAATATAAGCCATATATCTAATTTTAATTTTTCTGGTAAACACATTTTTTAAAAGTAAAAAGTAAGTGGTGAAATTAATTTTAATAATATATTTTATTTAACATAGTAAAATGCTATCATCTCAACATGTAATCAATAAAAAACTTATTAATCCTTTATTCTGTTTTTGTACTATGTGTTTAAAATCTTGTGAATGCTTTACATTCTTTTTTTGTACCATGTGTTTAAAATCTTGTGTATGCTTTACACTTTTGCCCATCTCATATTGTGTTAGTCACATTTCAAGTTCTTAATAACCACATGTGGCTCATTATTACCATATTGTACTCTGCATATTTAGAACATAAAAATGTCTTGAATCCCAAATTATAATTATTTGCTGAACCATTGCTTAAAAATTACTTTTAAAATGCAGTTGATATGAATTAGGGACAATAAATTGAAGTACCAGAGTGATAACTAGGTAATCTGAATTAAAAAAAAGCTGGGTACAAAAAATAACACCCCACCCGCACAATCCTGTAGTCCCTTTTAGTCATAAGTATACTGCATACGCCAGGACTCTATCTGCCTCTGTCTCTTTTTCTCTTATCTTTCTCTCCTTTATGCTCATCCATCTCCTTTGCAAAAGACATTTCTTTTTTTCATTCTTATCTTTCATGTTCCTTGCCTAGTAATGTTCCTGTTTTAACTACCTTGACAAGGGAGGGCTCTGAGTCAGTGGTGTGCTTGAAGCTGGCTCTTACTGGTTCGGGACACCTAATTGTGCATATCAATATTTTGGTCAGGGGCAAGGTCTTACCTGAAGGCTTGAAAGGGCAAAGATCTGCTTCCAAACTTGCCTATGTTGTTTGGCAGGATTCACTTCTTCAAAGGCTATTGGATTGAGGGTCCCAGTTCCTCACTGGTTGTTGGTTGAGAGATACTGCCAGTTCTTTGCCATATGAGCCTCTCCAACATGACAGTTTGTTTCATCAAAGCCAGCAAAGGGGAGGGGAAGGAGGAAGAGGAAGTCTTGTAGCAAGGCCAAAGCCACAATCTTCTGCAATGCAATCACAGAAGGCATCATATCGCTTTTGTTGTAGTCTGTTGATTAGAAGTAAGATCTAGTGATTTTGCCCACTCTATAGGAGGGACAATTACACCAAGCCATGAATACTATATTCAAGAATAATTTGAAATCTATAATATCTAAGTTCTGTCAATGAGAATTTTTTTTAAAAGATTTTATTTATTTGCCAGAGAGAGAGAGAGAAGGAGCGTACACGCAGGGGGAGTGGCAGGCAGAGCGAGAAGCAGGCTGCTTGTTAAGCAAGGAGCCCGATGTGGGACTTGATCCCAGGATCATGACCTGAGCCGAAGGCAGATGCTTAACCATCTGAGCCACCCAGGTGCCCCCAATGAGAATTCTTAAGTGCCTCCATTGCACTTCATTTATAAGCTCACTGAATTCTTCATTGGATGTGGATCTATTACCAACTTATTTCTTTTTACCACAAGTAATCCATATTCATTAAGAAAAATGTAGTTGAGTACAAAGAAAAAAATCACCCAATACCTTATAAGAGACAACCACTGTAAATCTTTTAGTGTACATACTTTAAATTTTAATTTTTATGTAGTAAATCTAAAGCCCTTTTTAATTTTCTCTCTTTGCATTTTAATGTTTCTCTCCACCAAATTCAGATATTCACCTTTATGTTCTTCATTATGGTTCGTATTTAAGAATTGAGACAATAAATGTATACACATAGGAGCCCTTTAGACGTTAATGTGCATCAGAATTACCAGGAACGCTTGCTAAAAATTAAAGTTCTGGATCCCCATTCAGTACATCTAGGGTAGGATCAAGAGTCTACATTTTCTTTTTTTTAAAAGATTTATTTGAGAGAGAGAGCAAGAACAAATGAGCACACAGGAGCGTGGGGGGGGCAGAAGAAAGAAAATCTCAAGCAGACTCCCTGTTAAGCCCGGAGCCTGATGGGGGGCTTAATCTCACCATCCTGAGATCATGACCTTAGCTGAAATCAAGAGTCAAAGCTTAACTGACTGAGCCACCCAGGTGCCCCAAGAGTCTACATTTTCAATAAAGTCCTCAAATGATTCTCACATACATGGCAGATTAGCATAGGTTTAAGAATTTTAAGATATTATTAATGAATTCATTGTTCCTTTAGGAATTGCCAGTAATCTCTTCCAGAGAAGTGAAACTGCATAACCAAGTTTTATTCAGGAACTGAACTGAGACAAGAACTCAGAGCTCCTGATTCAATCATTATTAATCGTATTTTGTTAAGGGCCTACTTCTTGCCAGGCAGAATTCAGCTTGACCAGCAGAGGGATGCTGGACTGGTGAGACCTATCTTTGGAAACTCTGCTAAATATCTGAAGGGAAAATCTGAGGATAGGGGGTTCTGCCTAATAGATGGGGATGAGGACAAAAATAGGTAAACTTAGCTCACACACACCTGATCTTGTTTCATAGTCATGTACAGTCCTCGTCCTTACTTTATAAAGAATTACTGGGTTTATTCATCTGGCTAAAATATCCAAATTTCATACCAAGTGTTTATGAAGTGACCCTTCTACTTTCACAAGGTCATTAAAAATAGTTTCCATTTCTTCTAAAACTACAGAAAATATGAAAGAAAACACATCGACTTATGAGTCCCTATATTAATCCTTTGGTATATTTAATTTCAGCATTTTTCACTGCATGTACTAAATACATAAACATAAGATTTGAAATAAAAATACAGAGGTTGCTTTTTTTAGACTGCTTTATTGGTTTCACAATATAATGACCATCTCTCCATGCAACAGGTAAAGTTCTCCTGCTAACAAAATCTTACAGATTGGATCAAAAACACATTCAACTCGAAGTAATAATAGACGTACTAGAAATGAGTGACATCAAAAGGTTTACAACAAAGCTATATCATGAACACATAAGTTTAGAAAGCAGGTGTCTCCTTATTAACTTCAGAGAAAACACCAGGATTCAAGGCATAAGGCAAAACTCATCATGATGGTCATGGTGAGGGGGGTCAGTGCTAACTGCCCGCAAACTATGACTGAACTGCTTTTCCTTCAGCTTTTGCATGAGTTGTCTCATCTCCTCCCCAATCCTTTCCACATTCTCTTCTCTCATCCTTCCCCGTGGCTCTTCAAGCCTCTGAATCACATCCCATCTATACTGCTGGATGGGCTGCCTAACACGGAACCGCCTACGATTTACTCTAGGCACACAATATTCACCAGTTTCCAAAGGGAGGGCCAAGGGCTCTCCTTTATTAACAACTTGCTCCTTTTCATCTTTTTTTTCATTTTCCTGGTCGGTATTTTCCATGTTGAGATTTTTTACTGCGTGCTCCTCTTTGGACGCCATTGCTCCTAGGAGACAAAAGACAAAAGAAGGGGTTGAGTTTTTGGTGGACAGGTCAGCACCGAGGACAGAGGCCTCACTACTCATCTTTCAGAGCCCTGGATGTCAACGGTTTCTAAAATTTCATTTTCCTACCTGAAAAGCTTTGTGCGTCCTCTAGGGGGCCTCCAAGTCCGGACCCCCCCCACCACTTCTCTGTCCTACCTCCCCCCCCCAAACCCACCATTTTCCTACAGATCCATCCCCAGGCTTCCGCAGTCACCAAAATGGAGGACGGGGGACAAGGGATGGGGTAGTTGGAAGAGGGTCTCAAACTGTGCTCTGCACCCGCCCCCCACACTGACCGCAGCACCGACCTGGGCCTATCCTTGCTGTCTCCTCCTTCTCCCAATTCTCGCCGTGAGTGCGCCGACACGACACTTGACACCTAGACCCGCAGACCTGCAGAAGGCCGGCGTGGAGGGAACAGGGGCTGTTGCGAAGCGCTTGGCGCCGACCCGCCAACACCTGGTCCCTTCTGGGTCCCGGCCACCCCTAGCCGCCCCCCATCCGCATCTCCCACCCTCACCCATAGCCTCCCCCCACTCCGCCCCGGAGGTTCACCATTTTCCTGTAGGAACTCGGGTGATTTCCAATTGCTCTTGGTTGCTCTGCTGCCCTCCCGGCCGTCCCAGCACCCCTACCCCAGGGGGCCACTACTGATGTTCCCAAGAATGCCGCTGCGCTGATCCCCTGCGCCGGCTTTGGGAGTAGGCGGATCGCTGCCGCCCTGGCCTCGCGCGCCGGCCCGGTAGCCCTTACCTGCTCTGCTTTCCTCGCGCCCGTTGCCAGCCCGCCAGGCGCAGGACAGCGGGAAGCCGGTACCCAGAAGCCGGACTGACGACTGCACGGAAGGCTGCGTTGCTCTGCAGCTCCAGGTCACGTGAGGGCTCCGCGTCACCAAGGAGCTCTCTCTCCTCCCCCTCCACTCCCTCGGGCGGGCGGGGAGTTCTACTGGACCCTGCCCCCCACCTCTGCACGCACCAACTCCCCCTCCGCTTGTCTGTGAGCGGGGCTACAGCGCGCACCATCTTGTCACTCAGCTCTGTTCTCTTCAATCTGAGGGCGCGCAAGGGGCCTTACCGCCTTATGGTTAGGGTTTGCCTTTCTCTGATTACCGGGGAGGGTCTGCATATCACCCACCCCTCTCCCCAAGGCCTTCGCATTGGCTTGGTCTTTTCAGTTTTTTCTCCTTTTCTTCCTGGCTGTGTATCTGCTTCCTAAAAATTTCTCTTTATTGTTTTGTTTTTTTTTAACAATCAGTATTGTTTCAAAAAACAAAAATATGAAATTTCATTTTTAAAAGACATGCTTCAACCTGGAGAAATAAAAAGAAAACTCATTTTTTATGTTCTGCACCACACAGAAAATATTTTCTCTGGGCTCCACAGAACTTCATTTTAGAACATTCTAGATTGTTTTAAAATTTTGTAAAAAAAAAAGGAAGGAGGCTTTGTGGGGGGCAGAGAACCTTCTTGAACACAAATGGTGTTTTGAAAATGATCCAGGAGAAATCCAGTTGTCAGCTCTTGGTCATTTTATATAAATAATCCACCAATTCCCCCTTTCTGGAGCAAATTTTAAGATTTATTAATAAACATTTATATTTTATTCTATTATGATTAACATTCATTATATATAGAAAAGAATTTGCTGACAACTGAAGTCATCTGCTAAAATTTAATGGCTATTATTAATGATGATTTTGAAGACCTAAGCAAAGGGAAGGGCTGTGAAGCGGTGGCAGGTTGAGGGATGCAGAGATAGTCAGATTGTCCCTGCCATAAGAGATTGGGAAAGTGCCCATCTTCCCACTGCCACATTCCAGAGCTTTTTATTGCCTACATTCAGGCTCTTGACTGTGCTTACTCCAAAAATTCAGATGGACAAGTGACCAAAGTTGTGACCTAAGTAAATTCCTTTAGTTTCTTCCCTCCATTTCTCCCTCAAATTCCCACCTAGTGACTCATCTCCCAGACAGATGTGGGGGTGTGTGTGTCTGTTCTCATACCTCTTCTATACCTCTGTAGTAGAGGAGTCAAAGAATAGTAGGGAATTGATTGCTGTGGAGAGAGCCTTCCAAATCTTCCTGTTCTCTCCTTTTTGTTACCTTGTCCAGGTGGAAGCCTTTCTGGGACATTTCTGCTATCTCTCACCTGGGTTAAGAAGTGCAGACTGCTGGGATCCTCACCCTATCCTGCCCACCTCCAGGGCACTCAGGAAGAACCCAGCCTTGCTGCAGGGTCACTACCTGCCAGTCCATGCTCACCCTGGTACTCCCTCATTCATGCCAGGGCCCAAGGAACACTATCTATTGACCATCCTGAGTAAACTTAGATTAGTTATTCTCAACACAGAAGTCTATGGAACAGATACTCAAATATTATCTGTATATGTGAGAAGGTAGTAATATATTCACCTTTTTGTGGGGGAGAGGGGCCAAACTTCTTAGCTGATTCTCCAAAGAGGCCATGATTCCTCACCCCTAAAAAAGTTTAAAAATCTCCATATATGCTGTCTTGCTCTCTCTTTAGCCCTTTACTTTCACCCTAGACCTGTTTCTTTTTCAATTGTTTTCTGCCTTAGTATTCACCCATTGGCAAACCCAGAATCTGGGCATCATCCTTGAATCCCTCATCATTGTCCCTCATATTCAATCAATAACCAAATCTAACTAAGACTGTCATATCTTTTTAAAAAAGCAGTATGGAACTATAGTTTACATACCATAAGATTTGTCGACTTAAAGTGTACACTTCAATGGTTTTTAGTATATTTATAGATATGCACAACCATCACCATAGTCAATTTTAGGAATTGACCATTTCATCAAAAAGAAACTCAAAAAGTACACTTTTGCTATCACTCCCCATCCTCTCATTGTCTCCAGGCCAAAGCACCACTAACATAATTTGTCTCTATAGATTTCCCTATTCTGGATATTTCATATAAATGAAATCATACAGTATGTATTCTTTGGGGATTGACTTCTTCATTTAGCACATTTTCAGAGTTCATGGCAACAATACAATAATCGTTTAAAGAACTGTTAAACTTTTTTTCCAAAGTGGTTGATCATTTTAAACATTCCTACCAGCAGTATATGAAGGTTCTGATATCTGCACATCCTCATCAACATTTGTTATTTTCTGAAATTTTGATTCTAGTCATATTAGTGAAGATGAAGTAATATCTCATGATAGTTTAGATTGGCATTGCTTAGATGATTAATAATGATGTTGAGCATCTTTTCATGTTATAGTTCTGCTCCCATTCCAATGTGTGTGCTTTGTCCCCAAACCACCAAACAATTCTCTGGTATCAGCTGGGCGTCCTACAGTTAACTAAATTCTGACAGTTTGGAGATAGTATCAGATTCCACAGATTAAGGGCTCAGTTCTACAATATTGCCCTCTATTTCAGATGCCAATCATAAGCCCAGGTTGTTACTTGTGCTTCTGACTTACTGACTATAAATCAGAAGTTCTTCCAACCCCTCCTTCGGTTTGATTAATTTGTTTGACAGGCTAATAGAACTTCAGAAATCAATTTACTCACTAGATTACTCGTTTATTACAAAGGATATAAATCAACAGGCAGATGAAGAAATACATAGAGTGAGATCCTGAACAAAAGAGCTCTGTCACCATGGAGTTTTTAATGCTGCATGGCAGCATATGGAAGCATTCTGGTTCACCAACCTGGAAACTCTCTGAATCCCATCCTTTTTGGGTTTTTATAAGGCTGCATTACACAGGCATGATTGATTAAATCATTGGCTATTGAGGATTGATTCAATCTCCTGCCCATCTCCCCTCCTTGGAAATCAGGGAGTGGGACTGAAAGTTCCAACACTCTAATCATGGTTGTTTCTCTTGGCAACCAGCCCAGCCCCCATCTTTAGGGGATTTCCAAAGTCACCTTATTAATAAACTCAGTTGTGGTTGAAAGAGACTTGTTATATATAACAATGACATCCATTTTACCTTTTTGGTTCTGAAGTGACAAAAGACCAAATATTATGACAAAAGATTGCTCATATCTTATTGCTCATATCTCTTAGGAAATTCCAAGGGTTTTGGGGAGTTTTGTGGCAAAGGCAAAGATCAAATATATTTCTTATTATAAATCACAATATCACATATGTGCTTATCAGTCACCTGTATATATTTTTTGAAGAAATGTCCATTCTGACCCTTTGCTCATTTCTTTTACAATTTTGCATCTTAAAAGTGTCCATTTTCCTACATCCTCACCAACCCAAGTATTATCAGTTTTTTTCATCTTTGCAAATCTGGTAAATTAAATTAATTAATTTAATTAATTTTAAAAATAAAATAAACATCTCACCTTACTTTTCATTTCTTTGTTAATATACTTGAGACTCTTTCTTCATGGTTATTAGATATTCTTTTCGTGTGTGTGACTTGATTGTTTTTGTGTTCTTTGCTCATTGTTCTAGTAGTGTGTTTAGCATAATTTGAGTCCTTTTAGCTGCACAATGGTTGGTGAAAGAATGCAAGAACCAAAAAACGGGGTTTGTATAATAAAAATCAAATGGCCATCTTGGGTTTCTTATAGCCCCAATTATTCACTGAATTTACAACTATTGTTTGCACACTGTGATTTCTCTGAATCAGGAGCAGACTGTTGGCATGTCACAGGACATCAGGATGACAAAAGTCTGGCAACAAGAGGTTATTTTTTGCAGAAGAATGAACTTTATCTACATATGCCAAAAACCTTTATAGTTTCTGTTCTTGCTGCCTTTGCATAAAAGTCATCCAGGGCATTTCCTGATACTCAATTTCAGTCCTTTTACTGTGAACCTCAATTTTGATCATAGCAATTTCGGAAGGTGAGAGAATAGCAGCAAGAAGGTCATTTACTTGCTGTCCATTTTTGATTGAAGTCCCAGTGGATGAAAGGAAACCCCTTGGTGTCTATAACATCCCCAAATCACAGATGGCCCCAAAGGCATACTGGCTGTCAATATAAATATTAACAATTTGTCCTTTCGATAATTGGCATGTTCCGGTAAGGGTGTAGAGCTCTGGTTGTTAGGCTGATTTAGCATATGGAAGGTTTACCCTCTCAAGTAGTATATACTGGGTAGTAACAGTATAGTCTGCCTGGAAATTCCAATTTTCATTTTTACAGTATGATCATCAACAAACAAAATTACATCAGGATTAGTCAAAGGGGCATCTCAAAAACCAGGAAGCAGTGTCATAAAATGTGATATTATTACCTCAAAGTCATGGGCTTTGCCCTTGTCAGGCAAGGGTAGTAACAACAAGATTAAGAATGTTGCAGTGTTTAAGATGGAGGGTGGAGTTTGTAAATAAATGTCATTTCTGGAGCTTGGGAAGATGGCAAAGTAGGAGGACCTAAGCTCACCCCATGCCATGCTTACAACTAGATATCACTCACAGCCAAGTAAATAAACTGGAGAACAATCTGAAGACTGGCAGAACAAACTGCACAACTAAATGTAGAGAAGAACCTGTATCTGAGAGATTACGAAGCCAGAAACAGTGGTAGGGAGCTGCCTGCAGGAAGGACAGAACTGCGGGCACAGAGGGGGGAAAGCACCAGGGAACCCATGGAGGTGGGGGGTGGAAAACAAGTCCCCATAACATCTGGCTTTGAAAACCAGAAGGGATGAATTCCATGAGTTTGCATAACCAGTGGAACTTGGAGTCAGGAGTTTTAAAAGTCAACTGACTCAGCACTTGGGAGATTCTGTTGGGCAAGTGATAGTTGGGTTTCCACCCTTAAAGAGACAATAGTCCTCTGAAAGGCAACA